ATTAACAACTCCTTGGTTTTTGATTATGTGAAATAACAAACTTTAGGGAATAGTTTACAGTTGGATAAACTCTTGACACCAACAGTTAAATTCTGAATAAGCAATAAAATAGATGAGTTTTTGTGCTGTCCAGTGCATGTCACTTTGAGATTTTGATAAAAAAAAAAAAAAAAAAAAAAAAAAAAAAAAAAAAAGAAAGAAAAAAAAAACGGGGAAAAAATGAATAAAAATTATACACGGTAATCGAAAAAAAATTAGAAATACTATAGTGTACCTGATTCATTGAATTGTGTATAAATTACCAAACATTTTACAAGGTTGATAAAACGTTAAAAGAAATTTATCAAAATTGATGTATAAGCAAAACTATTGAAATAGTCAGCCGTAGTGGACTGACGCATGTTTCGTTTCGGGGTGTGTGTGCACCAGGAATATTGTTAGTAGGCCAAATTGCATTTTTAAGAATTTTGTTTCCATATTCAATCATATATTCTTCATAAAGTAATTTGTAACTCCTTCCTAATAATTAATTTCAAATTAAGTGAGTAATGAAAAAGATGAATTTGTGCCTATGATATTGACAGATATTACCTTTAGGCCTATTAAGAAAATGTATAACGGAAAATATAATGAAATGTGTATAACAATTGATAGATGAAGTGTGTATTCGAAATTGCTCTTCTATATTCATTTTTAAATATTTGAACATAGACAAATGTCTTTCATTGGAAAAAAGGTGAAATCCCCACAAAAGAGTAAAAAAAAAATCTTCATGCACTTTTATTTTTATGCTTTCTCCTAGAAAATTGAGAAAAAGTGAGCCAAAAAAAATCCTATGCAATCTGTGTGGATCTTTGCTTGGTCTATATATTGTATTTATCGTTGGAATTGACCGAACGAACAACGATGATCAATGCACTGCTGTGGGAGCTTTGTTACACTATTTCCTGTTGTCTTCCATTTTCTGGATGAGTGTCCAAGCCCTCTTCATGTATTATCTGTTTGTAAAAATATACAATGCTCATATTCCAAGATTTCTCATCAAAGCTAGTCTATTTGGATGGGGTGAGTTGAATTAGCTAGCTGCATTGGAACAACAGGCTTTACTGTGCCTAACCATGAAGGAATAAAAATCTTAGTCTTCTATGGCCTAACTTACGGATGATGTAAATATACGTCCTAAATTTGTTAAATTTATTCAATGATCTGTAAAGGTCCTGATGATGACATAATTAATGTTGAGAAAAAAATAGGTCCTGATGATGACATAATTATAGTTGAGAAAAAAAAGTTGCTTATATGCAAAAACATACACAAAATTTATTACTAAGATATAAGATATGGTAGAATATAATATGATGTCTGATATATTAGCAAAAACAAAAAAATTATGATGTCATGTTGTAAGAATAATAGTAATACATTTACATTTATAATGTGATATCACGCAAATTAATATCAACATTACAAAAATTGTTTATCTAATTTAGTTTAATGTATACTTTTGAGCACCTGAAAGTTAACAGCAAATATGTATATTATTCTTAAAAATTTATTTTCAAATTTAGGTGCACCTGCAGTTATTGTCTTGGCTACAATTTTTGTACATGTTGATGATTATGTGGATAATCAGAAATAGTAAGTTATATGTATTGATAAATATTGTATATCTGCATGGCTATTATTCTCTATTACTAATTAGAATTTTACTACTTAACAGTGGCGTAACACCTGGTCCCAGCAGGCCCATATGCAGGATTTTTTGTGGGTGGGTGTGAATTTGTGGACCAAAATGGCTGGGAGTGCTGTGGTTGAGTGGATGGAGCCTCCTCGCGCTCAGACATTTTTAATAATTTGAGGTCTTAATTGATTCTGAAGATGCAATATCAACAGTATTCAACGATTTTTCAGTGACTGATAAATTAATACAAATTGCAAATATTAACGAATAATCACAAGTGCTTTACCACGTGGATGAGATTAGTAGACGTCAAAAATATATAAAATCGAGAACGCATAAAGTGGATCCTTTTTGGGAACAGAGTAGGGAAATCAATTAATCCCTTTGTTGTTGTTTTGATCCGAACAAAGCGAGCGCTGCAGGTATGTGTGTAATACGATTCTGTTCCCTGGGATAATACTGTCCGCTGGTATTTTCGGTTGAATTTCCCTGTGAGATCACCTACCAAGCGATCACCTGCCTTAACGCCCACTCTATTATTATACTCTGGTTTGTTCTCCCTATCTAATCAGTGCATTTGATACCTCTCATTAGCCACCACCTCCCGTAACGACCACGACTTTTGGATTTTTCTTTGATTTACCTCCGTAAGCAAACACCTTAAAAGTTTGTAATATCTTTTTAACAACAAATACAATCAGATTATCTAACAAGTCAAACCAGAAATTAGAGACGCATTAAACTAATAGGCTTAAGCAACACTATTAAAGAAAATAATATCAAAATGATAAGGTAAATAGGCCTACACTTTCTCATGTCCGCAGTAGCTAATTTAAGAAGCCCAGCTGGACCCCCCACTCCCTTTAAGTTTCTCAGAATAAAAAAAAAATGAGGGAAAAAAATAATATGATATTCAACTTTTATGCTCATAATCATAATGTTCTTACCTCAGCCCAGACCATGGTGGGCCTGAGGTGATATTGACCCTCCATTGTTTTAAAACCTCCCTGGGCCCCTTCTGTTTGAAATTCTTGGATCCGATACTGGTCCGTGAAAGTGCTTGGAGAGGTTATAGAACATGTCGCTTTAAAGACTTACTTAAAAAAGGCTTTCATCAGAGGGTCATAATTATAAAATCATTACCCTTTGTCGGTGGAACCAGGAAAGAATGTAATGTTGCACCAAATATATTTTCTATTATATATATTTTATATTTTATATTTTCATTCAGGCTGATTTTTTGTTAGAGGTTTTATAGAATTTAAAGTAGTGAGACCTCAATTCTATTTTTTATCATGTAAAATAACGTAAATCACCCGGGGCCTTTGGCCTCTGGACCCCGGGGGGAGCCCTTTGTCTCTTGGTCTCTCCAGCTTAGTTACTCGCTGCGCTCTCAAGGCTTGACCTACCCCGACCCCCTTCTCCAATTTTACCGTGGCTGCGCCCCTGGGTACAATTCAGACGTGCAGTGCAAGATCACCAAAAATATCCTGTACAGTTAAAAGTCTTTGGGTAGTGCCCTCAATTTGCAATCATACACCCTCCATAGCCCCTGCCCTCACATGATAATTCTACTCCTAAATATGCCACTTGGGACAGATGTCATTTTTTTATATTTCGTTTTCCAGTTGTTTTCTGACGTTGGGACGAATGTATGTGAGTGTTGCTATCCCAGTTGTTATTGCTTTGTTGTTCAACGTGACAATGTTTGCTTTTGTGATGCACAGTTTGTGCCAACGCGGAAAATTTACCAACCGACAGCGCAAGAAAAATGAGGGCATCAGGATGCTGCAGAATGGCATCAGTATCACTCTGGTGATGGGCTTGACTTGGGTGTTTGGATTCTTTGCCATCGGAGATGCAACCCAAGTCATCAACATTTTATTCTGTGTCTTTAACACCCTTCAAGGCTTCCTCATCTTCATGATGTACTGCGTGAGAAATAAAGACGTCCGCAACTACTGGAAACGTATTTTCATTACCGTAACTGGTGCTGAAACCGATGAACCGCCGCTGCCATCTTCACCACATCGTTTAGAAC